ACGGTGCTGTATAGTTAAAACTATCGAGTGACGACGAATCTGATTAAGTTATGACTACCAGCGTATTTTCAGTATATGAACAGTTATGAATGATAGGTTATGGGATCAAATGCTAGCCAGTCGGGTGATATCAAAATAATTAATATATATTGTGCCCACTATCCAGTTGATAACATAAAAAAACTTATTCAAAATAAGGTATGTGTGTTGCAATAGGTGTGTCGCAGCAATCTGATAGTAAAACTTGTTTCTAATGAAAAAATTTTCCCTGTTTAGTGCCGACTTAACGGACAAACTTTCAAGGCAGTTATTTTTCTCTCAAGTGCGCGTCTAATGCACACCGAGTTTTTATTAACTATCTGCCTTCGGATTGCCCGACCTGAACCCACAAAAACTATCAAGGCTACCACTTTTCCAAAAAAAAGTTTAGGATTGAAGTCCAAAAGAATTCAACATCTTTTTTTTTGATATCAGAGTCCCGAATAGCCGGGTTTGGATTTGTATTAGTGTTATTTTTTTGTCTTTTGGTTTTATTTATTCGAAAGTCACCAGTGCAGTCACTGGTTTCTTGCGAATCTTGGTCTGCCTATTTTTCCTATAATTCTAATATACTCAGCTAATTCTTACCTGAAAAAGTACGTTTTACATGGCGCCCTTTCTGCCATGTTTGAAAAAATTTGAGCCTTCCAGATTATCGCTTAAGGCGCCTTTCGAGTTGGCAAAACAGGGCCCTGCCGGATTGGCAAAAATTATCTTTCCAGATTGGGACCATTCCGGGTTGGCAAAACGGGACCCTTACGGGTTGGGACCTTTCCGATTACGTTCAAAGTGTTGAAACCCTCAGCGTCCAAACTTAGAGCTCTAATTTGCCAATCTGACCAACTAGAAAAAGGATTTGTTTGGAGCCTTGACCCATCCGGATTCAAGCTAAGCTGTTCGTTCTACAATTTCATTTAGCTGCGAGGGATCTCTTAGAGAGCCTACTTTCGACTTACTTGCTTTTCACAAAAGTCCCTTACTCTTTCCTACCGCCGTAAACAACGGAATAATGCCTCATATAACAGTTACTACCTTTTAGTAGGGATAGAAACGCTTTCCAATTATGAACCGGGAAGGGTCTCCCTTTAAAACCGTTTTTTTTTGTTAAAAACTGTCCAAAAATTTTTCTATGGTTTTTTATTAAACCGAGGTTTTCTATGGTTTATGAATAAACTTTTTTTTGATCTAACGGTACTAAAATAAACTGGATCTGTCTATTAGTAATTGAGATATGAAACCAAATGATTTTAGTTCAAACTCCCAAAGTTTTCGATTTTATAGGTGCCGCTTCAGTTTTTCTTCAATTCTTGTCCAACTGGCGTAAAAATCCCACCAGCTTAGAAGGCCTACACTCTCAAATTTTTTTTAGGCCATTAGAACAAGAATTGAAGAAAAAGTGAGGCGGTAACTATAAAAATAGAAAGTTTTGGGAGTTTGGACAAAACACGTTTGGTTTCAGATCTCTAGAACCACTAGAATGATCCAGTTTGGTTTCGTACCGTTAGATGGCAAATAAGATAATTCAATATTGAGCTAAATAGTTTCCCGAATAAACACTAAACAATATTTTTAGACAGTTTTTTTTAAAGAGCGGTTTTGAAGGAAGGCCCTTCCCGGCTCATATTTTTTTTGGAAAGCCCTTCTGTTCCTACTAAAAAGTGGTAACTAGTGACTGAGACAAAATTATGCTGTTTAAAGACGATAGGAAAAAGTTAGGGACTTTTGTAATAAGCTAGTAAGTCAAAATTAGGCTCTCCAACAGACCCATTGCAGCTAAGGGAAAATGTAGAGTAAACAGCTTAGCTTGAATCCGGAAGGGGTCCATATTTCAAATAAATATTTCGTAGTAAGTATTATTTGCATATTAGAGCTCTGAGATTGGACAAGGAGCATCTCAATTTTTGAACGTTATGGGAAACGTCCCAACCCGGAAGGGTCCTGTTTTGCCAACCCGGAAGGGAACCAATCTAAAACGGTCATTTTTGCCAATCCGGTAGGGCCCTTTTCTGCCAACCCGGTAATTTTTGTCAATCTGGAAGGTTCCTAGTTTGACCGATTTTACCGGTTTTGAAAGAGACCTTTCCCGAGTCAGAATTTTTTTTTTTGCAAAAACCCTTATACCCCTACTAGAAAGTAAAAACTGTTGAATAAGACCAATGAAAAACGTTTCACCCGGAAAAGTTTGTTAAAGACAAGGCAACTTGGACTACTCCAGATTGGTGAATCATTAGTTGATTCACTTATCTGAAGGGGTTCCATTTGCGTTGGATCCAGGAAGATTCAGGAAGCTCCTGGAAGGCTACCGGTGAACGGGTTCTAACAGCTGTCGAATCATCAGTGTTTGTTACGCGAACAATAATGTTTATTGCAATATCTGAAAAATTTCGAAAAGTTTCCTTTCTTCGACGTTTCGGTTTTCCAAAAATCACAAAAAGTCTGATTGCCACACTGATTTTGTTATAACCTTGTCCGGACTAAATCCAACCGGTTCTTTTTGTTATATTAACTGAGTTACGATGTATTTCACAAATTAAGTGCTTTTTTCCTGTTCGAAAATTGGATATATCCAGAAAATTGTGTTTGTGGAGTGATCAAGATATCAATTGTTTGATCCTAAAAATTTGTGTGTTGATAGTCTATTTGGTTAAAAAACGGAATAGGACTATTAATACAGGTATTACTAGTAGTAGTACTAAAGATATTAGAGCCCTCTCCGAATTCGTTGATTATCCGAATTAATGCCCTTAACTCGGAACTTCGCAACTCGATGAAGGGTCACAACAGACCGCCCACTGTCGAGCCCCCACATTTTGATATTGAATTTTCTGTACCAAAAAGACACAAAATTATTTAACGATACCCAGCAGTCTATTTTTGTTGTCCTCGCGATTCTTCCTGCTGCTTCTTGCAATGCTGGACTGGTTTTTTCATTAATCACTTGACACTTCCGGATCGAGTGAAATTTAGCATTAACGTGCTTAATTGCTCATATTAACGTGCTTAAATGCTCTGATACGAGAAGTAGCTAACCGAGTTGATGGAGCCTTTAGGTATGCACACAAAATAGAAAAAAAGCCGGAAATTGAAACAAAAAACAAAAGTTACAAATACCAAAAAAAAACAAACAAAATGCGGACAGTGACTTTGAATTCCAGATTGAGTAGATCCAACCTTTGTATTAATTTATGTTATAATTATACGGTTCCACAATATATTGATTGTTTCCATCATAGTTTCCATCAAGCAAATTAATCAAGTGCACAATTAGAAGGGCGTTGAAAAGGTTTTCAGATAGCCTTGAAACTTTGGATAACAACTGGGAAGCTTCATTGGGGAGGATTACTAAGTAGATAGTGACATAAAATCATGAGGGCTGGAAACATGGAGACGTAGTAATTGAACGTGAAACAAACAGAGTGTGTTGCAAGAGTCAATCGAGTATCATTAACAAATCACTTTATACACTATGGAATAAGTATAAAAGTGATTGAAAACGGCTTCTTCCACGTTTTTGACTTGAGCACCAATTTTTACTTGAGCAGAGCTTGGAAACAGATTCTACGGGGTTTCTCTGGAGTTGTTTTGCACCTATCGCGCTTAGGGGATTTGTACAAAAGCAAGGGGGTGACTAAGCTGAGGGGGGAGGTTAGACTAAAAAGGATTGTTAGGAAAAAATGTGGTTGGAAATTGTAAATGGGGGGTCTTATTGCTACAACTGAACACTCGATATTTCTGCTTAATTTTATTACATTAACCGGTATCAACTTCAAAAACAGCACTAACAACGCAAAAGACCTCTTGGAGATCAAAATAGGACAGCTCGAGTGACTGTGGGAAAGGATTGCCGGATCAGGTTAGGGGGCTGAAAGCTTTATTGCATAAACCTTGACGATATCCAATTCCTTATCCATAACATCAGTAAAAAAAACGCGTAGCAACCAGGCACTAGACAACTTTTTCGCAATTGACTATGAAAATTTAGAGAGAGAGAGTGGTTTTTAATGCAGAATTTTTACCTGGTCGGCCTTTTAAACACACCCTACAGATAGTAAACTGACCAGATTTTACGATTATAACAAATAACGAAAAATGACTTTTTAATATTAATTTATTTTTGATTTTTTGTTATGACTATATAAGGTTTTCTTTCATTTGCGTGCTTAAGGGTGCAGAGCACGGTTTCAGTCTCGAGTCTGGGGAAAATCAATTAACTGCGCAACGATTTTGGAATAGGGTCTCGGGAAGTTCAAACATCTGTTCAACAGTTTCAGTCTTGAGTCACGGAAGTTCAAACAACTGTTCAACGGTTTTGATTCGGGTGTTGGGAAGTTCAAACAACAGCCCAACATTTGAGTTTAGGGGAGGCTCAAACAACCGTCCAACAGTTTCAATCTTCAGTTTTGGGAAAATTTGAAAATTGAAACCAAAATGGGAACCAAATTAAATAATTGGGCTCGCTCATCCTCTTCTATGGCAAATTGTGGACCAAATTTGTGTAGAAATTTGTTCATCTGTTCACGCTGACACGTTTTATTGCAGTTTCTAACATAAAGAGTCATTTTAAATACACTTTCATATAAAAAATTTCAAAAAAATTAAAGGGTGGACTGGAAAAGAGCCCAATTGCTGGTGAACTTTAGAAATTAGGGCTCATTAATCTCTTTCCATTACAAATAGGGGATCAAACAAATAATCCGTGTTGCTAAAAATTGTTTCTTTCAATCCCTTGTTTTTCTGAAAATTGGGATTATTCAGCACCCTCCATAGAAAAAAAGAAACCAAAAATGGGTCCAATTTCGAACCGAGTACCTTCCTATTTGCGCTATGAATTCATAAAACAGGCTGAAGTCTTTAAAATTTCTCTTGAAAAACTCTTCGATAATTAAAAGGAATTGTTAAAACTCCTTTCACTTATTAATGAGCTTTTAAGCAAATACTCATTTTTTGCATAAAGATTGAGACTAACTGTAAAGCTGTTTGCCGTAAATGTTGCACGTGCGCTTTGTTGAGCTAGTCACAGGAACATAGATTAAATGATTTTTAAAGCCTCACATTAAACAACAAAGACGTATAATTATAACAACGACAATCAGGTAAGACATGTTTTGTTGATGAAATTAAGAGGATTTTTGACTTGAACATTGAGCCAGTTAAAAATCCCTAGTCCCTCGTCATTGATGTTTTTTTTTGCAAAACTGATTCGTGTAATTTCGTTCTTCGATATGTTATTTTAAACATCACAACAAAATGTTCTGCCGTATATTTTTTTAAAATTTCTTTTATCAGTACCACAAAGATTTTACCGACCAAGGCAACCATGGAACCCGCAAGTGACATGTGTCTCACGCGACTAGACCCCACCCCTTTCCACTACGAAATGAGAGCCACCACCTACGGCGAAGTGTATCCTATCAACGCGGGAGGGGGAGAGGGCGCTGGACAGATGACTTACAAGCCGGAGCCTCTGAATATCTACGGGTGGCGTTCGACTACTCAGGAGGACACGTACAAGAAGCAGCCTGGAGTGCTGATCGGAAACTGGGTTGAGGAGCAGGCAGATCTGCAGTTCAGAAAACGAATCCCGCCTCTTCCATCTGATGTCAGTATATGTTGTGGGGGTGGGGGTGTAAAGGGGTGGAGAGTTTACGGATATTAATCTTTGAGCTCCAGTTAAGGTCCCTGCTTTGTCAGCTAATTAACAGTGTTATTAGAAGAAGGATAAAAAAGGTCATTTAGCAACGGTCAACGTGCAACTGCGGCTCTTTTTCTACTTCACCTTTCATCTTTAATTTTGAGGAACGTTGTCAAAATCCAATGTTGAGAGTAATCGCTTAGGTTTTTCCATAGTAGCCCCCAGCCAAGTTTTTTACAATGAAATTTTTAACTCTTGTCACCCCCCCTTCCCCCCACATAAGTTTTAGTTTCGAACTACTAATTTTACGTTGCCATACTGCAATAAAACTTTGCATAGTAAACCATTCAACTAATATGAATAGAGTTTTTCTCCTTATTTTACATCGTTACATCACGCATTTAGCCTTAACAACGACTAAAACATCTATAAAAAAATGGAAATTTTGAATGAGAGGGAGGGTGATTCTTTTGTTGTGTCTAGCCAGAATTCGCACTTTTTTGTGTTTTTATTCTAAAACACACTTAAGATTGTCTGAAAATGGGTTACTTGTTTTCAACTGCAGGGCTACATGGAAATCAAATATACAACGTTTTTGGCTACGTAAATCGAATATTGTTCCGACTTCGTTCGAAGCAACGGACGGAATATTTGCGCTCGGGTGATTTTTTCTTTAGACAAATTTCGACTTTTTAACCAGCCATTTTTGACAAAACTTTTTGGCTCTTTTTCCTTTCCCCCCCACCTCACTTAAACATGAACTTTATGGTCTAACGAGTGGTTTTACAAGGTAAATTATGAAGACCAAATATGTTTGTCATGGCCTAATTAGTCTGCCTGTCAATTTTCATAACAATCGAACTAAGTGAACAGTAACTTCAAATATAAAAATTTGCAGGAGGGGGGGGGGGGGGGGGGAAGGAAAAAGAGCCAACTTCTTTTAGCATCCGAAAGGTATTGTTGTCCTGAGCTCAAATCTAAAAAAAAAATAGTTTACCCGTGATCATTTTTGTTCAGTTATGGGGGTTTGAATATTGCCATTTTGGACAAGTTGGGACAATTAACGCACGATATATTTCGCGCTATTAACGCGTAAGCGGAGATTTAATCCATCATAGAAATCGTTCCAAATTGGTTGAAGCAAGGTATTTGCCATAATTGTTATGTTACTAGGAGCGAAATCTACAACTTTGTACTTTATATGGTTTGATTTTTAAAAAAATCTCAATTTTTTTTTCATTTTTCCTGAAATCGTTATACAGCAAACACTACTTCATAAAATTCATAGGGCAATCGGAACATCGAGTGCTTCGCCCTGATACTAGCAGTCTTGTACTGTATTTTTTGGCTTACCGTATCAACCGTAAACATTAACTCAAAGCATTTAATTGTTAAAAGTTTCTCCATTGAATCTTTTTGATCTGACTTCTAAACGTTTTCGTATGTCTTTGGGTGCCATTTTTTTTTCTAAAGATGAAATTTGATACTGTTTGGCTTGAATTTTTAAAATCCCCTATCCACTCTATTTGATTTTTACAACATGAAATTTGCGTAACATTTCCTGGCTAATCTTGTTTTGGAAATTGGTATGCGAAACGGCCATTATTCATTTCATCTACAACCTTGTAAAACCACCACATGAAAGTCTTTTATTGCTCGTGCTAGCGCAGGGCGGTATAAAACCAACAAAGCGAAAGTTTTGATTTCAGAAAATCTTGGAAAAGCACTGTTTATGGGTGACCAAAAAAGCCATAGCATGTTTACAATCAAATCTCATTTTAGTATGGGCACAACTTCAACACGATCTACAAGACCAGTTACCAGAAGCCTTTTATTCCCCTGGACAAGGCAATCAGACACGCCTTGGAGAGAGAACCCCAAGCGTACCCCACCCACCAGGCAGAACTGGACCCGCCTCTAGCCAGACAGTACGAAACTATGCTGACTGTTGCCATGGAGACATACACTGATCCCAGCAAAGCAGTGGAGCAAAAATAGAAAACAAATAAATCAGAATAAATTAGTTTATCATCAAAAAAGAGAGCTAATAAAGGATGCTTACCAAGTTTTGCTCTTAAGAATAGCCGATGTGCTGTTTTCCAGAACGAGTTTTTTTTTCAATAGAAGGCCAATTTGAAAACTTTTTGATTGGAAAATTGACAAAATAATTGAAAAAAAAAAAACATTAAAAAATTTTCTTTTTTTTTTCTGCAATTTATTACACATGCTAATGTAATTTACTATTAGCGCCATGTATTCTAATGATACGACCAATTTCCTTGCCTCAATTCAATTTGAAACGCATTAATCCACGCCTCATGCTGGTACAAGAACGCAATATATCCCGTGTTGATTATCCCAAAATGGCCAAAATACGCAATTTTCAAACAATGGAGACTGTAGATTTAGGGGATTGTTTTTCTAGGTTCTCCGCAAAGTGGACCCTTGAGTAGCGAATTCAGCGGAGCGGCCGAAATTCACTTCTATCTACAATCCCGAAAGGGTTAGTTGGTGGCAACTATTCTGTATTGTATTATGTTGATTGCCCCTTCTTTCGTACTGCTCTCAGACTGGCTCGTCTACGCAATACAACCGCACGAGTTTCCAATTGTAATTTAATTCAGATGAGTATACGTCTAATTACAGAAGGTTCTGAGTGGCCAGGTTATAATCTAATAATTAAATCAAAAGGAAAGGGTCCGCGACTCATCGGCCAAATTGTCTAATTGCAATCAACTTCCAGCTAACTCCACTAACATTAACTGTTCTCTCTCTCTCTAGAGAATCTCTGATGAGAACCAACTATCTACAGTTTCTGCTATAAATTTTCCTTACTCCGAGAGCGAACTACTTGACTAACTATCAATAATTGTTCTCTCTAACTAGCTGAGAACCCACTATACTCTTTCTCAGTATCAATTGCTCTCTGCTCTGACTGAGAACCAAACACTCTTAATAGCAGCTAACAATTGTTCTGACTCTTAAAGGCTCTCCGGTAACCTCCAGTTCCTTATCTTTCTTTACACTTAGTTACAGTTAGGTCACGCTATTCTCTATCAGTCCTGGCATCCGCTTAAATCACCCGTCCGCACTTGTTTTAAGATATATCCCTCCCCTCGTCAACTCTGCCACTTGCCAAGTTCGGTTTCTTTTATCAATCTTTTCTGGCTTATCAGATACCCGGTATGCAGTAAGTTTCACAAATTGACATAGCTAACAAAAGTCATACGATTCTTATCAACTAATTCCTGCCTCGGTGACTTCATCCCTCGAGTTCTACTCAACCTCCAAACCATGCTATGTTTACTCAGTGACCCTCACAAGGTCTTTAATTTAATTATCCTGTTAACATTCCGGGGAACGTATTTCGTCTATTAGGGGTCAAATTAAACCAAAAAGTCACCTCCCGGAAGCCAAGTAAATTCCCCCTCCGTTGACACTATTTCAATCACTTTCTTTTGGAACTACTTTTCTTCAATCTAGTTGAATTGCTATTACTAGATCATTTGACAAGCTAAACTGAACCCAATATTTACCAAGTCCACTTCGAACTAACTCTACTACTCCAAGCTTGCAATGCAAAAGCTATATCGCTATCATTTTCTGCTCTAGCTCGCAATATGCAAGTTTCCTCGCAATTTTTTAGCAAGGTGACCGGTTCAGATCTCCAGGGATTGGGCCGGGGATTACGCCACTTTCCGGTGTTAATCTCGGGGTTTTCTATGAAATTTTGGGGTCAAAACGCCCAAAGGTCAACTGAAGGGCACCCAGGAGTCAACCGGGGTCAAACTTCCATATTTGGGTTCAGAACCTTTTGGAGTCCTAATTACCACGTTCCATCCATATCCCATTAATACTCCACAAGTTATCCCATTTCTAAGGTCCACTATCATTTTTCTCGGAAAAGGCTATGAAAACCGGAAGGAGTCGCCTGAGGGTTTTCACTCCCCGGGGGGTCTTTTTTCGGGGTTCGTATCTTATGTTGATTGCCGCAATAAAATCATTATACCACCGTCCATTATTTTGCGTAAATTGCCTATTTCCGGTCTCAAGTGGTGTTTTTTTTCCAAGTGCTAATAGCTTCCAATCCAACTGTTGGAAGTGGTTTAAATTATAAAACAAGATTTATCTTGCCACTACCTATCATCCCTCTAAGTTTCAGCTCACTGCGTTCATTGGAGGCCGAGAAACGACTTCTGGAAATTGAGGGTGGGTTTGTTTACTTAGGGCGTGGTGGTCCGGAAGTGGGGGTCCTAGGGCTCTAGGGTTCCAAACTTAAGCTTCACTCAATTAGACCTGCAACAAAACTTGAGTCCATTACCGCCGCTAGTTTGCGAGTTCTGATGGGGCTATTAACACTTTCGTGGACCGTTATCACTTGCCCCCCAAAGGTCCGAGGGGTCCTATTTTTCATATTCCGGGTGAAATCATCACTAGTATCGCTCCTCTAAATTTCATAACCTTACCAATCTTAGTTATGATTTTTTTTGGGGGGGGGGGGGGGGGGTCGCCGATTTTATCAAATTTTATTTTCTGGTATAGGAGGGACGATATCTTCCAATTTTGATCTTATTTGAGCGACCGTTCGTTTGCTGTACTACTTAACCTAATGACGAATCATTTTTACGCTCAAGTTACTATTAGCCTTACTATACTGCATGCAGGTCCCAAGGTAATACATTCAATGTTCAGTTCTTATTTTGCCAAAAGTGTATCAGGATCACCGATCCTACAGAGACTTAACAAAAAATGGTCACAGGTAAAATATTTTTTCAAATTTGAGCCCAGCATTACTTTGTGAGTTTCGAGCAATTCTTTTTTTTTTAAAAAAAACATATTTTTTCTGGACTACGTTGTGTACGAGTGAAGGTAACCAAATCTGAATAAATGAACTATTTCTGAGAAAAAATGTGGAAAGATCAGTATTCTTTTCAAGCTCGTTTTCATGTTTTTTTTCTCTTCAATTTATTCATGCAGTAAATTAAAATCCAAAAATCAAAGCAACAGCATTATATGCAACATAATTAATATGAGTCAATTGAGTCTTGACCACGATAAAACTTATGATAAACTCAGTGGAGTGCGCAGAAGTTTTTCTAAGGCGAGTGCGGTTTTTCCGGTTAAAATTGAAAATTTTGTCTCCCCTTCCTTTTATTGAAAAATACGACTTTCTCAGCTCCCTGAAAATGTTTTACTGTCCAAAAAAAATGTCTGTTGTAGGAAAAATTACAAGAAAAGCTGAAATTGACGTTTTGAGCATTTAAAAATATTGACTAAAAATTGTGTTTTTTTTTTGGCTTGCGTTTCCTTCTCAAAGTTCATTATATTAGCGCTGAGGGCTCCTTTAGAAAATTTGAAAGCTGACTAGCCAAAACTGGTTGTCCTAAAATTTCAACAATTGGAAACTTTGTTGGAAAAATTTGGCAGTCGGAAAAATGCTACTGTTACGCATGAAATATGAACTTTTCAGTTGTTGTTGATGGAATTCCATTACAGTTGCAACGGTATGTTTTCAAACGATGAATCTATTGCATAAATTTTTTTTTTCACGTTTCTGCCGACTTTTCTACTAGTACCGGAGTTTCACAGTTGATATTATAGCATATGATGGGTGGAATTGTTCATTAGAAAAAAACTGGATAAAAATTTTGTAAATTTTTTAAAGTGTCAATTCGCTTTTCAATTGATTTCAGGTTTGGCATAAAAAATTCAAAAACAAAACTCTTAAGGCCATACTGGCTTTTCTATAGAAAACAGGGTGTCATATTTGTGCAAGATAGATCTTTGCACTTTATCTTTTCAATTAAAATATTGACCGCGGAAAAGGCGGGTCAGTTTTTAGGAGAAAAATGCTTCCAAAAAACAATGGAAATATCCAAATTCACGCTTTTTTTCAAGTTCAGAACAGTTTTTCTATCGAAAATTTGGGCGTAATTGCTTTTTCAGAAAGAAAAACTCCAACAGCTTCTTCTTTTAACAGATCGCGTATCATTGGAGTCATTTATGCAGAAAATGTTCTCAAAACCGGATTTTTGGTTGAACTCTCAATCTCAGACTTCATAGAGTAATTTCCTAAAAAAGTGAAAAAAATTGCTCAAGTTTCAAAAACGCTTAACTGATCAACAAAGGTATTCCGAAAAACCTGACACTTTTTTTTTACAAAATTTATCGAGTCGCTGCTTCTGGAGAAAAAAAAGGTCGTAATCTGTTCCTTCGATTGAACTCTTAACCTCAGATTTGGCCTGGTAGTTTTTGGGCTTTCAAAGCACGGTCCCAAAATGTTTTTTTTTTTTAATTAGGGCGTAATTATTTACTCCTGGAATATGTCCATAGAACGGACAATTTCCCGCCGTAAGTGTTTCCGCTCTTATTTCTGAATAAAACGTTGTCTACATTAAACCCTCTATCCCAGATTTCGAAGAGTAGTTTTTGAGAAAATCCAAAAATGGGTCAAACACTTCCCCCATTGAATTTTTTGAAGACCGTAAAAAGGAAAAAGATGAAAAATTGCCAACAGACACTTGGAAAAGGGTCTATGAAAGCATGAAAAATGATTAGATACCGACTTATTTTTACGAAAAAATCAACTTTCGAATTTGGAAAAATATTTGCTGGCCTTGGAATATCTAGAACAATTTATGGGTGACACTTTTTTAATCCAGAGGCGAAACTGAGCTGCTCAAAACTTGCGAAACAAAAATTTCAAGATGATTTCACTATGAGGGTTAAATATTAGCAAACATAGCCAATCGAAATCGGAAAAGAACGAACGCAAGTACACTTATAAAAAAAATACTGACTTTCTTGAAAAAAATTTCTTTTCGAACTTCAAAGAAAAAATTGATGCCCTTTAAGATCTTTGAATTTTTAGAACAATTTATGAATGGCGCTTTTTTGATAACATGAATCCAATTAGAGAAATCTGGATCAATAGTTTAAGTTTTTATTCCGCTGTGAAATCTTAAAAATATATTCCACTTTCGAAACTAGAAATCGTTCGTTTTTTCGCGCCATTTCCTCGTTCGTTTTTGTAGAATTCTATTTACGTAACTTTTAGCAGATGAATTTCAACTGAACTCAAAAAGCGCATTATACCTAAGTGCATCAATATTTTAAGACTTTTTCCTGAAAAAAAAAACAAAAAATTCAGCAAGACCTATATAACTTTGAATGATGTTGCAACTTACGAAATGGATTTTTTTCGCTTTTGAACTTTGAGGAGAGGTCAGGTCCTAGTGGGGTTGAATGCATATTTTAATACAGTTTAATGCATATCAATTATTACGCTCCGCTTGTGCTTAAAGCAAGCTCCAAGAAGCTGACCCCCAATCCAAAAAAACTAAACTTTTTTCTGAACAACACGTGGCTCACGAGTCCTCACAACAATCAATCGACTAGCAAAATGGCTGTTGAAACGAGTCGTTTCTAATTTAAATCTATTACACCAGCTAGGCACCATGACATGATAAATGAAATTTAATTTAGTACAATTGCTAACAAAGATAAATCTAGCCAAAAGTTTAAATCCAATTAAAATTTTTACGGGCTACATTATTGAATTTTTTTGGCATCTCGCGCAGTCCATATTCCAAGCATATATCTCAGTCGAATTAAGAGGATATCTTTTCCCATCTGTATCCAGGAGAACACTGGCACCAATTTGGACCCGTCTATTTCTGTCCAGTTTACTGCAACTTCTATCAACGGAATTTCTGAAACATGTTTTAGATTTGGAATATGAAAATGAGCCGGTATAAGAAATTTTTGAATTAAAACTCAATTTTCTTCAAAAAAAATTAGCCAATAAATTTAAAATAACTAGCTGCGTCATTTGGAATCAGTAAGCTGGTTTGTCTAGCCAACAGACATTTGGAAAAGTGAAATAAAGATAGTTCCGGTTTGGTCATCTCATAGAGTACGTGCTGTCAAAAAACAACGTCTTTACGTGAAAATGAATTATTTCGACCGGATAGTTTCATGGTACTCTTTAGTCCAATATTAAGCCTTGAGTTCTTTAATTTCTAATCTTAAGTTCCTGTATTTTTTTTCTGATGGACACTTTTTTGTTTAAATTAATCCAATTTGAGAAAACTGGATCAAAAGGTAAAAATTTTATTTGACCAGAAAATCTGAAAAAAATTCATTTTCGCAAGTAAAAGTCACTCACGTTTTTCGTGACCCTTAAAGATTTGCAGTAAATTGAGCGTGAAAAATGTGAAGAAATTTCCTGAAAACCAATCACGACCTTTATAGAGTCTGAACTACGTTCATCGACTCTGAACAAGCTTCCTCTGTTGCTCTTACATCCGGCACGAGAGGAAAACTGCGTGTGAATCAGTGTTCTTCGCTAAATCTACAGCTACGAATTGTCGCCTGTTAAGAATGTGAGGCAACGATTCGTCGCAAGCGACAATTCGTGGCAATTATGAAAGGCGACAATTCGCACCAAGCGTCAATTCGTAGCAAGCGACAATTAGCAGCCCGATTAACTTCTAATTAGGGGGACTATTGAAAGATGTGAACTAACCACAATGTTTTGCGGTGGTTGAGGGGTGATGAAAATCCAGCGAGCGAACAGACCTCTAAACTTAGCACCAGTTTTGAATTATATATCAAATTCAAATGAATAAACAGTATTTGAACATTAGTAGCATCTGAAACACATTTGTTTCAATTCATTCGTTTCAGTTATCATTTGCAAATCTTTTCAATTACTGAGCACCTGACCAGGATAGAGAAACATTGAAAAGAACCACAAAACATTAAGCAACAAAAAAGTCCAGTTGGAGATGCGTGAAGATAGCACGTTAGGCTTCTGTTGCCACTATCGTAGATCAAATAGACAGCATATCCAGATAACATGATCACAAAAACATTCCATTTGAAGAAGTCAAAAAGTGAGTAAAATTCTCAAAAAAAATTGACACATGCGCAAATTTGAACTATCAAAATTAAGAGTTTTCGAATTTTAAAACGTTTAATTAAAATGACTACAAGACGTGCGTTTCTATAGGGGAAAGTTATCACACCCAGCGGAACAGGCTAATTTTTTAAAGACCGAGGGTAGTTTTTGGAAAGAGCGGAAATTTTTTCTTGAACTATTATACAACTAAAAAATCAGGGTTAAACGTGCTATCAAACAAAGGAAAAACATTTCATCCTCCGAAGATCATTTACATGGAAAATGCTGGGGTAATTAGCCTCGAAACAGTTCTTAACTGGCTTAAATACAAGTCACTTACTAGATCTGTTTAACGTCAACTGACTCCGCTCCCATCAACAAAAGACAATGCCGTACCTTGGAGTAATGCAAGACCCTGAGATAGGAAAATGTCCTTCTTTTTGATTAAGATTTGGATGACATGGTCAGAATGGTAACATTTTCTACTGAGGAAAACGTGAAAAAACTGGAGAGCAACACAGTCTGGCATGCAGATGGGACCAGGGGGGGGGGGGAGGGGTTGGGCAATTCCCTACTTCACTCTGAAATCAGCTCGACAAAAAACCAACAATTCCGGTGGAGGGATGGCAGTTGGCTTTCCAGATTTCTCAAAAGATAAAAGTCTACAGAAAAACAAATTGGTGAAAATAGCTGCCGGAGAAAGTTCGCCAAGAATGCAAAATGCGAAAAAAATCCAGATTAGTTAAACTCAAATACTATAGCATCAATAACATTCTCAAGTACATCGAGAGCCCCTCGGTCAATTTCGGTGTTTAATTTCCGTGTTCTTTAATTTGACCTATTCATCTAATTTCTTTTGGTCTGGTCAAGAGTTTTACGGCTACTAATTGTCGCCTGCTACGAATCGTCGCGTGGCGGGAATACTCGCTTTGTACAAATGCTACGAATGATCGCTTGCGACGATCCAGGCCTATCTAAGGCTGTTTGGTTATAAATCTTAAATTATCCACTTGTAGTTGCCAGTAGTAATTTGAGAACAATTTGCCATAAACTAATTAATGTTCATGAAATTTTACCGCTCTTTTCTTTAAATCGCATGACTGACAATTCATGTCGTGAATAAGGTCGATGTAAATCCACCCGAGGGGCATTACCAGGAGATATAGTACTAATTCTTCGTAACGTTTTCTTTTCATTCAATTCGTTTTCTCAATCGAATTCTTTCAGTTTGTGAAATAATTTTTTATTGATTATAATGGGATTAACTGACTTTATTGCACACGAATATAATTTTCAGAACGTGATTACTTTTTAAATCTAACTCAAATGTTTATATCGTTTATATTGGTATTGGTGTTGTACTTTCTGCATCTGGATTTTATATTACATTACACAGACGTATACTCCATATTCATTTCAAATTCGAAACACTACAGGTAAAAGGTCATCCAGAACTGTATTGTAAAAACCGTGAATTCCATTTTAAACAGACTTTTTCGGGTTAAAATAATTTCTTTTCAGTTTTTAATAAACTATAACTGTGCTCTATTTGGGAGAGTGGTTTCGTCTGTTCAGAGCTATGTTCACAGAAAACTGAATTCGATTTCCGGCTAGGTGTACGCAGTTACAGGTAACTTAACGCTTCGAGGGTTCTAGGTTGTGAAAAAAATTGCAACCCTATTCGAATTTTAAAACGCTATTTTGAACACATATTGGGAGAGAATCGAAAAAATTTTGAAACTATTCTAGTCTATCGTTACTTTGCTTCAGAGTATAATATCCATAAAATTTATTCGGGGTTTAGTTATGGATCATGATAGATTAGTATAAATACTTGACAATATCATAATGCAGCAGAGAACCTATAAAAAGCGAGAGGCTCAATAAAAATGAATTTCCAATAGGGTTGCAAATCTAACACAGAGGCGAGGCTGCGCTTCGCAAACACTTGCGAGAACACGACAAAAAGCAGCTCTATAAAGTGCAATAAAACTTTCGAAATTCAAAGAAAAAAATAGATGCCCTTTAAGCTCTTTGAATTTCTGGAACAATTTATGATTTGTGCTTTTTTGGTAACATGAAACCAACTTGAGAAAACTGGATTAATAGGTAAAGTTTTATTTCGCTGAGAAATCTTTAAAATTCCACTTTCGAAATTAGAAATCGTTCACGTTTTTTCCAAGCAATTCCACGTTTAAATTTGGAGTGCTATTTAAGTCACTTACAGCAGATGAATTTAAATTGAACTCAAAAAGTGCATTATTCCTAAGTGTATCAATATTTTAAGACTTCTTCCTGAAAAAAAACAAAAAAATGGCAAGACCCATATAAGAGTCTTCACAACGTCCATTACTCTTAATTAAATTGTGTTCAACCAAATTGCAAATTATGCATTTCAAAAATCTCGCGAAGTAAATTGGGCTGGAAATTTTCTGAAAAGGGATTTACATTATTATACTGTTGTATGAAACAAATAGCTTTTTCGGTTCAATTGATGTATTAAAAAACCATCAACAGTTTTAGCCTATGACTAATCGAAAGTCAAAGCACTTGTCAACATACTGCTACTACAGCCAACCGTTTGAAAACTGCCACCAAAATTAGGACTTTTGTTTGCGACTAAGATTAGAAAAAAAGTTGCATCCTACTATCACACTACTTTACGCTCGTGAAAATACAAAAACAGGCCACAAGCAGAGAACAGATGCTATGAAATTTTCAATGCTACAGATTGTGATTATAGAAAAAGTGCCACCAAATAAGAGAACACTTTCAATGAACACTTTTATTTGCGAGTTAGGTTAGAAAAGAAAGAAGGTTAGTACTAGCACACTAACGCTCGCAAGCGCTAGTGTAGAAAAATGATCAGCAAAAACTTGAAATGTTCCACACAACTAACTCAATTGTTCTGCTAGGTAGAGTAGCTCGACGTCGAATGCCCACCTCTCCACGTGCAGAGTTGAGAAAAGGGTGAGTGCCTCTGACCTGGAGAAGAGCTTGAAGCCACACTGGGTGTCTCTGATGGTCCGAACACACAACATCCAAACCAGCATTTGGAACACTTTGGAGATCAGATTGCGTAGGAAGTTCCGCTTCGCCATTGCCTCCTGTTCCTAAAACAAAACTATGCATGCTAGCTCAGAACTTACAAAATCGGCATACACGAATAGAAATTTAAACACTAATAGCTAAAGCCGATGTCTTTAACGACGGGGAGACAGGGATTCCTGGCTCTTTTTCCTTCCCCACCTCACATAAGCATCAATTTTATGGCGTAACGAGGGGTTTTACAAGGTTAACCATGAAGACCAATATGTTTGTCATGGCCTAAAGAGCTCGCATGCCAATTTTCGTAACATTCGGATAATGTGAACAAAATTTCACTAGTAAAATTTTGCAGGTGGGGGAAAAAGGTATTTAAGATCAGATGCAATATGTGTGTCATTCGGATTTAAAGTTACATGTTGTCTTAATCGTTTCAAATATAATGCAGTTGAAGCTCTTTGGATGAATTTGTAAAAAAAAAAAAGATAACTGAAAATTTTAAAGGAAGATTTTTGGTTCGAGTTGATGACGTTGAGGAAGGAAAAACAAATGGTATGTTGTTGTACTTCGGGAAAACAAGCTCACTAAATGTGCACGTGATCCGATTGCGACTCCCTTCTTGTCAGGGAGAGAATTAAGTTTGTCATCTAGCCTCGAGACGTCACTGAACTTGGTGGCCCCGTCTGCGTCAGCCATCAGTACCCTCCTCCCCCTGCACGACAACACCCCCATCCGCACTGCCCCACCCTTGCCCCTGTTCTGCTCCAGAGTCAGCACTCGCACTTTATCGGTCGTGTGTTCTTTGGCGTACCTAAGCAAAAAATCACATTGAACAAACATCACATAACAAAATTGTGTTCTAACACTGACATTCAAAATAGCAAAATGACTGCAATTGAGCCTTACACACAATTGACCACAAAATGACGGGGTTCACCTAAAAATTTGACAAAATCTTCAAACATCGCAAATATAAAAGTAATAATTCAAAACTATACTTTACCTATAAATCAATTACATCACGTATTTTTTGTGAAACCCTTCAGGAGCCTCTAATATACATCATTATAAAAATTCTTACAATAATCAATTCACGCACTTTAAGGCTACATTTGTAGTTTCGTCTATGCTTCCATCATCCACCACAATCACTTCGTATGTGAAGTCCGGATGGCTGGTTACTTTATCTTCCAGGAAACCCAGTGCCTCTTCCATCATAACTGGTAGTCTCTCTTCTTCATTGTAGGAAGGGACCACTACACTTAAGTCCACAGAGGGGGGTGCGGAGGGACGGGGAAATAACTCATACTCACTCGAGAGAGGGTTGAAAAATTTGGATTCTGCAAGAGAACGATTAACCATACCAAAATCTGAAAAAAAAAAAATTAAAGAATTGATACACATACTGCAACGGAGTTGTACTGCTCCAAAGTTTAACCAAAGATAAGATTCAATTTTGAAAATTAACAAAAACGACAAACTTCGAATTCGATAAAAACCGTTTTCTGAGCCTTCTTCTGCCAGATAGCATGTACAGAAAACGAAGTCGAGTGAAAATTTTGTCGACTTCTTTTTTTGGGTCAACCAAATTGATTTTCTGAGCTCTCGCAAATCACTGTAAAGACCCTATTTTGACCAAATTTTCTGTGCCGCAAGCAAATTTTTGAAAAGGCGTTTTTCGGCACTTTTTGGAAAATTTTGACATTTTAATTTTGCCATTCAATTATGCCGACGGCTTAATTTTGCCATTCAATTTTATGGTAATTGTTCACTTACGTTGCCCAAATGGTTCCATAGATGCTTTCTCATAAAAGTCATACTTCAGTTTCGAGACCTTACATGTCTAAGTGATATAAATGACGCTATTTCTCGAGCTACTATACATTTTAGTTTTTAAAGTAAAACAGATCGTTCTAGTGAAAGGAACTGAAAACTGATCTCTACCGGAACTGAAAACCAATGATATTCAAACTTCTATTAACAATTATTTACAAATATTTATAGGAAAAAATCTACGTGGAATAGAGATATAGATCAGTTTGCAAGCTTCAGAATATTCGCAAATTTGCCATATTTGACTGCACACTATTTAAGCTTCTACAAAACCAATTGCTATCAATCTGAACACCGTTGATTTTAACTAGCCTTTGCTTCAACTCCCACAGATGCGAATACCTGCATGCCTTTATTTCCTTTTTTCCCATTAACCACCAAATCCACAGGTGAATTGACTCTGATTAAACAAAAATTCACACTTTTCTCGGTTCGTTCTTTTTCTGAAGATTTTTGATCTTTTAATGAGAAGATTTCAAATCTATGTTCCGTAATAAAAGGTTGCCTGATCGCTAAAGAATCACCACGTTGCAGATGAAAATTGCTGGCCGCATTGAAAACTGATACGGCACATATGTCTGCGGCTGAATCTGAGGCTATGCAGAAATAGGGCGGTTGTTGTAAATTAAGACCCAGCTCTCCGATTACCTTGAGAAGACATACTTTGTCTTGATTTAAGTTTTTACTACTTGCAGGTTCGCTTTTCGAAAGCTCGCTCAAACTACACTGTTTTAAACCGATTAAAGTCTCAGTTTTAGGGTCTTTAAATGGTTCACTGAACGGTCCCAAATGACTGAGGTCAAATTTTGACACTATTTTATCAAACTGTTTCTGCTTCAATCCTCCTCTAGATGCAATCAGATCCGTCAGTTGAGTTAGTAATAACTCCATGTTAGTTGCTTGTTCTTCCGCTTCACTCCAAACAGGGTCTAACTTCGAGGCTGAAAAATGAAAATGAACCTCTTTAGACTAACAATACTATGACAGGAATGACACGTTCTTTTTTCACATTCAGTTAATATTTGAAAAACATGCGAACTGACTGAAAATCACAAAGAACAAACCTAGTTGCAGAGATTTTAGTGACTCTTCGTATTTTTCCTGGAACTTGAGTAGTATTCCGTAATTGTAGAGCAGATCACAGTTGTAATTCGACAGTTCGTCCTTGAAAGCATTTTTGTACGCTTGCAACGCCTGCTTCAACGTCTCTGGCTTCTGCCCGTCGACGAAAAACTGGGAGAAGTGAGCGTTTCCCAAAATATACCACGAGACACCATCCATGAAGTCGATCTGAATTGCTTCCTTAACCAATTTGATGGATTTCTCCATGTACTCCTAAAAGAATGTTCGATCAATACTGTCCTTGTCCAGGGCTGTCATATTGTTAACTGTTTTTAATATGTAAACTGTTAATTACATGAAAAAAAAAACACGTTAAAAACAGGGTTGTATGATTAAAATCAATTTGATTTAAATCGGATTTTAATCGTAGAATAAAAAATAAAAAAATCAACCCTTGTGGTATTCTGCCGAGTGCCGCGGTAAACATACAACCCAGCTTGCAGTATTTACATTGGTTACGTACTTCGCTCTTCATAGCATACTTTTAACTGGAAAAGTTTTTCAGCACTTTCGGATTTAATCACTCCAGTCTCAGAAATTGACTGGGAATAGAAAAATATGGGTAACTTGTGTTCTTCTTTCGGATGCTGAATCAGTAATTTTGCGTAAATTATTTGATTCTTGAAACAAAAACGCTTCTAATAAAAATCGAAAAAATCAAAGTAAAATAATAAAAATCGGATTTAAATCAATCGAGAATAAACATCAGATTTTTATGCAACCCTGGTTAAAAACAAGATTGAGTTCTAAAACTACTCAGTTAGTTGTTGAAAGAGAAAAACCAGCTTTCCAGCCTTCTCGACACCCAAAGAACTTCGAAGTTTTTCATAGGTGAGTCCGAGAATTGAGGAACACCGCTCTAATCTAGCTCTGGAGGAAATAGCAGTGACCTTGTCCAAAATCACTGCTGTCAACATTGGCTCCCTCTCCACTGGTCAAAAACCACCAACACAATTGTAATTTACAAACCAGTAAATACATGAAACTTAACAAAATGAGCTGGTTGTTTTGCAAGACGTACTCAAATGCTCTGACTACTCTTATCTTTCCGCAAATTACTAATAATTGGACTTGGTCAACTCACTTTTGCTCTCAACTGGCCTGAAAGGCGAAAAATAATCATTCTTATTATTCGACATCACACGATATACACAAGTGAAAAACAAACATTGCTCTAAAAACACAAAAAAAATCAGAAGGGAGCTACATCAAAGAAAGCCACGCTGGTTTCATACAGCAGCCAGGGTGATAGCCAGGACGAGACCTCATCCACGCCGTCTCGAAGAAGCGGACGTAAGAGAACTGCGGTCACTAAGATGGGGGGCGTAATGATTGACAGAAAGTAGTCAGAAAGTGTTGAAAGGTAAAACGGTAGTCGTCTAATTGTTAATTCCAATACAAGAGATAGTCAACTTAATCTTACAAAGTTAACATAGAGAGTGGTTGAGAACAGTATCCAAGGGTGACAGACTGTTCCAAGGACAAACACCTGCTAATCAATTAGTCTAGCACCGAGAGTGGACATTTGATTGACAGCTTCCGAAATGAACTAAATTACTCTATACAACACTTCCCTTCGATAATGAAACTTTAGTTGAATAGAAAAACGATTTCACCTGTTGATTATGAATGACTGAAAATGGTTGATTATGAATGGTTGAAAAAGAATTACTGGCTTCATGTTTGGACACAATTTAGACTTTTATAATGACAAATTTTTAACAACTAAAAGATCACTGAGCAGTGATAACGATTGAGTTTTAAGTCACTAATGACCCACCCCCTCCCTGGGTTAGAACAGTTTGAATAAAGTTTTACTAGTTGCTGTAAGTCACTTGTTTCCCTCCTTCTTGTTTTGATTGATGAAGTCAATCATTACGCCCCCCATCTTAGTGACCGCGTTCTCTTACGTCCGCTTCTTCGAGACGTCGTGGATGAGGTCTCGTCCTGGCTATCACCCTGGCTGCTGTATGAAACCAGCCTGGCTTTCTTAGATGTAGCTCCCTTTTTCTTACTGGTGGTCGTAGTATGCGACTGGTCCCCTGGATTGGACGTTCCTTGGTCCCTTGGATGATTGTCCAACTCACCGCCTCGTGCCGTAATGGTGTCCTGATCACTTCCAACATCGACGTCTGTTACTGCTGTTGCTGTTCGTTCTATAGGTGCATCGGGGGTGGTAGTTAATGGCTGCTTAGCCCGTTTTACCGAAATAATCGGCAAGTCTTTTCTGTCTTCCGATTCAGAGCCACTATTCTCAAATCGGCGCCCGATTCTTTTTCGTTGTTTGTCCGAAATTCGTTTAGTCGATCGTTCTTTAACTTCGCGCGGAGTCGGCGGTGGTAACCCTGGATGAGCTGCTCGCTTTTTCATTTCACTCGGTGGTACCGGCAATACGGATTTAGGTGCGGCTTTCGACTTCTTTGGTTTGGGCTTTGTGGCCACTCCCGATTTTCTAAGCACAATCCCATTAACTAAGGTAAATGTATGCGTACTCTCGGATCTTACTTTAGATTGAAGTTGTTTATACCTTTTTAAGTTCCTGTTCCCAGTTCGCTGGAACAACAATCAAGATGGTCCTGGTTGTCCGCTGGAGTTTACAGTTTTTAGTATCGACGGTTCGTCGTGTTGGTTGGCGGATTGGTCCTCTATTAGTCGTCGTGCATGGGCCCTGTTGTTGATGTCATATACTAAGTCTGATCGTACACTCCAGTTAGTATCAGCTGGATGGGGCATGTTCTGCGCATTTGGATCGGCGGCATCTAAACAAGCATTTTTCGTTGTTATAACCCGTGACCAATCCAGATTTTGATGATGGCTTTTTAGAAAGGTTCCGTAAAACTGTGTTCGCTTCTCTACCATGGTGCGCTTCAAAAGGCGAGATTTTTAGTGTTGAATTCTTCGAGAATCTGAGGGCACCAAGGGCCCTTTCAACCATTTCCTCCAAGGGTTCGGGATTCTTTTCTTGAGCGAAGGTAAGGATAGAATTCTTAAGACTGCCAATGGTACGCTCGACGCACCCAGTTGCTCGATGGTCGTTTACTGGCGATTTAATGATTTTAATGCCCTCCCCATTACAAAAAGCTTTAATCTCGTTTGATTTGAAACTAGTTCCCTGATCAACGTGAATTTTCCGTGGCACCCCATGGTTTGTTATATAGCTTTTCAAGAACTTCAATATCTTATCTGACCGATTGTTCCCACAAACCATTGCCGATGGCCAACGAGAAAACCGGTCGACCGCCACTAATACATATTTCCGGGATTCATTTAAGCAATTGATGGGGCCCCAAAAATCTAATTGGACTGATTCATTTGGTTCCAGTACAGTTCCAAGTTGGTTTTTCTTTAGTATCGTTTTTAAATTCATACCAGCTGCGGTACATTCAGGACACCCTTCGGCAATGGAAGCTATTGAGCGGTAAATATAAGGGTACCAGACATCTTTTGCTGCATCAAACATGTTTGTTTTCCCGTGGTGATATGCATGAATTCTATTATTAATGGCTGATTGAAGGTTAATAGGAATTACTAATTTTTCATCCATCCAAACTACGTTTTCCTTCACCGAAAAGTCATTAACGAATTGAGCATAATAGCGGTTCATTTTACTAATTTTTTCATGGATTTCAGGATCTTGTGTAACAATGAGATCGCGAATAGCGCTCAGCTGGGGGTCAGATACATAATTCGATTCTATGAACTTCAAATTAAACAGATCAGGTAATGAAGTAACTTTGTTAACGATTTTGCAATTCCGAGGGATAATTGACATACATAATAGATTCGGGTCCACGGGTGGTACTGTTTCTCCTTTGAATGCCGAGGGTAACGAGAGAGTTGTGTTCGTGTGAATTGATCTTGTTTCTTTGGTAACGGCTTCCAGTGACACATTTGGGGACAATTCTTCAATTTCGTCGCTACTGCTATTCAAACTCGGATGTTGTTTAAGAAATTTCTGCCATTTACGCATGCTTCGATCCATTCCGATTTTTGATGTTGAAATTTAGAATTTAATGATTTTGAACAACTTTGTTCTGATTTAATAATAGCCCCAACTAATCCAGTGCGTATTTCGCGTAGCCGTCGGTTCAAACCACGTGTTTGAATCTGATTGGTTGATTTTCGCTTACATGTTTTTCCGCCCTCTACCGATTCATTTCGTGACGAAATGTCCAGTCTATTTATAGATTGCTTACTTTCCGCTGTACAAATTGGTCCCTTGGATTTATTGTGTCCCTTGGATGTATTAAAACCAAGAGCGGTGCGAATTAGGTTGATCTTTGCCACCGTAAACATATTATCATACGTACTAATTGGCGTTGATTCTCTAATTGGATGACAAGATAAGTAGTCCGCCAATCCAATTTTAGCCCCTGGTTTATGTTCAATTCGAAAATCAAAGGGAACTAGTCGATCTAACCAGCGCGTTAAGCAGCTAAACATCGTTTTATTTTTCTTATTATTACCATTCAAAAGGAATATTACAGCTTTGTGGTCGGTAACGATCAAAAAACTTCGGCCCAGTATGTAATTTCGAAAGTATTCAGCCCCCCACACGACTGCCAACATCTCCAATTCGTTTGTTGAATATTTCTTTTCCGCTTCGTTAAGGTATCGCGAGGCAAACAAGATTGGGCGCCACCCTTCTGGTCTTAACTGTTCCAACACCGCACCGAGCCCGTTATGGCTTGCATCGCACACTATACGAATGTCCTTGTGGATATCAAAATGCCGTAGTTCAACAATGTCCATTAGTAGAGGTCACAGCGGCGCAGATGATTCGGCTAACGCCGGTAGATACTTGTGCAGACTGTGTATTGACCCCACGAACGATTTTAATTGCGACAAATTCCGCGGCGGCGTTAGCGCCTCTATCGGTTTTGTTTTCCTAACCAATGGAGCTATTCCAGTCGATGTTATTTTATGGCCTAGCCATTCGCATTCTCGTTGGGCGAATTTACATTTTGTTAATTTTAGAGACATATTTTCACGATCCAGTTTCTTTAAAATTTTCTCTACCGTGGCTATATGGTCTATCGCAGTTCCCTTGGTTACAACCAAAATATCGTCGATGAACGCGTGCGCCTGCGAGTATTCGGCGAGTATGCAATCCATTGCGCGTTGGAAATCCGCGGGCATTGTAGTTAGACCATAGAATCCGGTCTTGAACCGGTACGTACCCGTCGAGCGGCCTCCAATGAGAGAAAAATTACATTGTACGCTCGTTTCAGCGTTTAACGGCAATTGGCCATATGCGTATGTTAAATCCATTGTGGTGAAAAATATGTCTCCTTATTTTTTCACTAATCGTTTGCCCAACTGTGTCCATTAGTTCCTCGATATTCGGCATTTGGTATTTATTCTTATGCACTTGTTTATTTAATTCCCTCGACTCGAGTGCCAGTTTCACGGACCCATCTTTTTTTACTGTTATTACTATTGGGGACACAAAATATTTGTCCGAGCATTCTGTTCGTTTTTCGATATGACCCTGTTGCAATAGTTTATCAATTTCAGCATCCACTTTTTCTTGTAACGAAATCGGAACTCAACGCCCCTTCTGTTGTACTGGGGTGAGGTTTTCAAAAAACTCTGCTTGCACTTTGTAGTTTCTTATTTTCCCTACCCTGCTAAAAAGGTTTGAAAACTGCTTACTGAAATAGGTTTGCCAGGAATCCAACTCCCCCTCCGGTTCCAGTGCGTCCTGGTTTCCTTCTCCAATGGACATTATCTGTTCCCCTGGTGATTGTTGCACCAACTGAAATCCTAATTGGGACATCAAATCTCGTCCAATTATTGATGGTCGGTTCCCTCCGATTACTTTTATCCTCGCGTGTATCTTCCAGCCGTTGGATTGTATTGTTACCGCCATTGTTCCGATCATCTGTAGTGGATTGTTTCCATAATCCCGAAATGCATTGTCCTCCTCCGTAAGGTTATCCAATTTTACTCCTGACGTTCCCAAAGTTTTCCGCAATTCCCCAATGGTGAAGATCGAAATTGGAGATCCGCTATCGATCCACACGCGAGTGGGTTTCCCATTGACTTTAATCGGCAATTGTGCCCCAGCAACTTTCAATTCCGTGACTCTTTTATGTTTTATCGCCATTACCATATAGTCCCCGTCTGAGCTGCTCGAGTCCCACGAGTGCACCACTGGATTCTTATTAACCCAGCCAATGGAACTTGCATGTTGTGACGCTTCTTCATCCGCCGAATTTTCCAGGTGACTATCGTCAGCATTCTCCCGTATCATTCCTACGGCTCCCTGTCCCCGCTGGTTTCCACGCTTCCCCCTACAGGTACATTCGAAATGGCCAATTTTATGACAAAAATTGCATGTAACTCCTTTTGCGGGGCATCTGTCCAAATGTTCCCTGGTGAAGTTTTGTTGATCGCAGTTATAGCATCTATTGTTGTTGGGAAAGTTTCTACCTCGATTCGTTCCTCGCCCTTGGTACGAGCCCCGGCCCTTTGCACGATTGTGCCGATAACCTCCACGGATTATTCCGACTGGTTCCGATTTTATCTGGATCGCGCTGCCTCCTGATGTCGATCTTTGGGCCCCCACTGATCCCGTGGCAACATAGGATGAAGCATACTTGTTTCCCCTCTCGTACGAGAGAGCTATCCGGTAAACCTCCTCAGGTGTTTTCGTCGACCTGCATAGTTCCTTTTGTGCTTCACGGTTATTCATGTTGACGATGAATACGTCCCTTAGTCTCCGGTCCTCTAGTGTTCCAAAGTTGCACCGCGCCGCCAATCCACTTAGTACGGAATGGAATTGCTCCAAACTTTCATTGATAAACTGCTTTCGAGAAAGAAGTTGGTATGTCTCATTTCTTTCTTTCTTAAATTCAATTTCCAGTGCGTCTATCATTCGTGGGTAACGAATCGTCGAGAGATCCAGATGCGGTCGTCTTTTGTGAAGTTCATCCTGCCCCTTTTCCCCCAGACACAAATACAGAAATACAGATTTGAAATTAGTACTTGTTCCGATTCCAGTCGATTTTTTCCGTCTACTTCCTGGGACAAAGCAGTAATTTGGGCGGCTGTGAGAGTCGTGGCGTAGTAATAGTTCTTCGGGTTTATTGAGTGCTTAGCTACCATTCCCCATTGGAATCGGTTAATCCAGAATTCCCACATCATTGGCGGTTCCGTGCATTTCGCTGGCCAGAATCCCGTGATGCCCAGTGGATTCTTTCCCCCACCTGAGACTGCTGGCTGCGCCATGTTGAAAAGGTAAAACGGTTGTAGTCTAATTGTTAATTCCAATACAAGAGATAGTCAACTTAATCTTACAAAGTTAGCATAGAGAGTGGTTGAGAACAGTATCCAAGGGTGACAGACTGTTACAAGGACAAACACCTGCTAATCAATTAGTCTAGCACCGAGAGTGGACATTTGATTGACAGCTTCCGAAATGAACTAAATTACTCTATACAACATATTCGACATCACACGATATACACAAGTGAAAAACAAACATTGCTCTAAAAACACAAAAAAAATGCAGAAAATACCTAGAAAGAACACCCACTTCATAAAGAAACGAGTATTTAAAAATATAAGTCGAGTATAACAGAATTATCGTGACCAATTATTTGCCTCAAAGCAACTTTCATAAATTAGTCCACCAAATTGAAACATTGCCAACTTCGAACCTCCAAAATTCAACGAAAAAAAAAACAGCGTCGATACCATCAAAAGGCTACAGCAAACGTCTATCGAAAACTACTATTTCAATATGTGTTACTTATGTGGGTAAAGATACGGAAAACACTATAATAGTACGCTCGGGTGGGCTAATAATGGATCCAAAGTGCGTTTAGTGTCAAATTGTTTGCGCACGACGAGAAGCTTAATAGGCTCATACGCTTTACCGATGGCGTCTTAGTTTTTAGATATCAAAGACGTTGCTTTAATGAAGCGGATCAACCTCTGGTGTGACGAGAGAATCGCTGAAACAATTATCGTAACTAAATTCAATTGAGTAAAACTAAGTGACGAGAAAATCGCTGAAAAAATTCTCGGTAACTAATTTCAATTGAGTTGAACCAAGAAATAGTTAGTTTTAAAAGTTTAAAACTAACAGTTATAAGCCTTCTCGCTCGCTTGATCTGCTCAAAATTAGAAGAAAGATTGACACTGGAAAACTTTTAAGATCGTTCAAGTCACGACTGAAAGGGCTTTAATAAGATAAATCATTCGACCCATTTCGATGATTATTTGTGGAACCGGGTTTTGCGTGGAAAAAAAACAACACACTCGAATACAAAGTTTCTCCCCAATTTCAGTGGTCAGAACATTTACGATTGACATGTTTTGACACAGGCGAAAGGAGGCTTCGCACGCACGACTTGCAATACAATCAGCTAATGGGTAAAAAATAAGAAGAAACCCTCTAAATTAAAAAAATGAAATGAAAAAAAAACATAGCCAACATCCGCCACGGGCAAGTATTTGTCTCATTGTAGAAGTTTTTGAAAACAATTCCACGTACAGTTATATAATTTACCTTCCAGAATCCCAAATATCAATCCAATGAGGCAGTTGATTTGCTAGGCTTCGTACAGCAGATCTTTTTTTGGAGAAAAAATGGAATTATAAGTGAATGAGCTTTTATACCGACTATATCAAATCTGAGTAGGTAAATTTGTAAATCTGAGTAGGTAAATCTGTAAATTTACAAGCGACATTAGAAAAAACAAATTTCGAAGATGAAATGTGTTTAAAAAGCTAAAAACATGACCAGAAACAGAGCTACTGGCCAAATAATTCGAAGTAATTTTGCTATTTCGCTATTATTATTTTTTTAACCTAAGAAGTCTATATTCCGAGTATAATTTAATTTCTTTCAACTCTTTAATATAATTAAAACTTTTGTGGCAGAAGTCAAACTTTCAATAACTTGTGGCAGAAGTCAAACCTGCGGAAAAAAATTGATGACAAAAGTATAAGATACTCCTTCAAAGTATAAAGTACTTCATTCATTAACATTTTTTGATTTCTCAATGCATAGGGATATGCTTAATTATGACAGACCCAGATGCTTAATTATGACAGACCCAGATCAGTCGTACAACGCAAAGAAATCAATTAATAACTTTAATTGATCAAAAATTCAATCAACCATGTAGCTCATTTTAACGGCAACTAATTCAAACCATAGAGCCAATTTTACGACTATGAATCAAAAACATAATTCTATTAAACGAGCATAAAAAAACATAAGTTAAATTAAATGACTGCAAATAACTTAAGTTAGTCGACGCTTCCGGCTAATTAATTTTGCGGTCAAGGTTAGAACCAAAAAAGGACAAAAAAACGTCCGGTGGGGTGGTAAGCCATCCTTGTCTCAACATTTTACTTTGCAATGAGTGGGGGTCATTGGGACTTGATTATGAGTGCAATTAGTTCGTGCGTCTTATGTCACGCGTCAACAATGCTTCATTAGAATCAATGATACTGATACTAAAACAGGACTACGCTTCGCTTGTGTTTAAATCAAATTGTAATACTTGAATCAAATAAATGTTGTTTTTGCAGTCCTTTCACATAAACCCGGAGAAGGAAAATTACCAGTTTGATCTTTCATAACTGGTTCATATTGAAAAATCAGATGATCTCACGTCAGGTTTCAAAATACTTAATGATAGAAAGCAAGTAAAGATAAGATTGTGTTTCTCTAAGTTTGACTGTCCTGGGAAGTAGATCCCCTATGCTGAATGAAAATGTTCAAAATTACCATATGATGCTCTTGATCATTGCTAGCGGCTGCCACCTGTCGCATGAGGATTGAGAGATTCCTCTTGCCCTGCTTCGTAATATCTGGCTGTGAGGACTGGAGACTCTGTTCGAAACTGAGTCGGGCCCCGTCCTTATCGCCCTTCTTCCAGAAACACTCGCCCAGCTGCACGTGGATATCAGTAGTGTTTCCTTCAAGCAATGCACACCATTGTTGGAAAAGGATATGTAAAATGAAAACACATTTGCATTTAAATACGAAACTGTGTACGCTCAAATTGGGCTATTACCCCGGGGTTCACCTCGATAGACTAAAGAACAAATAAAAATTGATGTCTCATGTGATGATTATCATACAAATTCTATCTATGGAAATCGTATTATTAATAATTTTAACCAGCTGCAGAATTTCAGGTTATAATTAAAAATTGTTATCATTATTATTATTATTATAAAGGATTTACAAATCAAAATCATTTGAAGGGATTGCTCCCTGAAACACAACAATAAAATCAACGACACTGTGAGCAGTCACAGGCAAAGCGCCAAGAGCATGGACGATAGAAGTTGTAGTTTGTATGAAAGTAAGACCAGAAGAACTTCAGTAACTTCAATACTTTCGAATTTTCAAATTTGAAAGTTTTTTGAAATTTTGAAAAACCACGAAAACTTCATATCTCAGAAGCCTAAAGGGCCTTTGGAGAAAGTTGGAGGCAAGATTTGCAACCACTGAGAGTAACCTAAGAGCGCAAACATTAGTGGGATTTTCAAAATTTAATTTATTCTTATTCACTTTTTACTCTGACTGTTACTCTTTTCAGTCGAAAAAATAATACTACGGCTCAATCGAAAAAATAGTTCCCAAAAATATCTACCTAGGCATATTTTTAGCTGCAAAATTAAGTACTGATTTCCAAGAAAAGTAGTTCAGGTGCAGAATGTTTTCACAAAACAAACAGCGTCTTTCAAATAAAACGAAAAAATGTTTAGTTTAGAAGCCTAGCCAATTGCTTGTTTTTCTGTGGGAAGATACACATAGATACAAAAAATCGAAAATAATTTTGAAAGCATTTCAGCTATTTACTATAAATTGTTATATTTTATTTTATTTGTGCTTTTACTGAATTAAAAACATGGTTAAATATCGCAATGCAGTATAAGCTTAAATGAAGCTATAAATTTCTGTTTTTGAGGACAATTATTCACAGAAACAAAATTTACACATAGGCGAAGCTTATGTGACAATTTGATTCATTTCAGATAACAAAAAATTGCAACTGGATAGTTTTTCATGGAAATATTTTTTACAGAAAGATTTTATAGATATGTTGCAAGGACAAAACGGTCATTTGCAAACTTCTTATGATTCAAAAGGATCCTCTGAAAAATTCAATCTCGATAAAGGAATGAATCAAAGATGAAAAAAAAATCAAATAGAGCAAACAGACAATAGGAAAAGAGTCAATGAACACGCAAAGAAACAGAAAAAAAAACTCTGAATTGTTCTTTGAAAAAAACTGCAATTTTCGAAAATCAAAGTCAACAACCAATAACTGTTAAGATCTTCGAACTTCAAGAACACTTGTTGATTGACTTTTATTTGATAAGTTTACTTCAATTTGAAAAAACTGGATGAATAGTAAAAGTAAAGAAGAAACCATTGAAGTAAAAAAAAAAGATGCAACCAAAAAATATTCCACTCGGTCGATATGAATACACTTTTCAAAAACATAGATAAGAATTTTGGACAGCTTAAAAAACTGAGCACGCACCTTTAAAATAGGGCGCAGCACGCGGATAGGCCGCATGGCACACCTGTGACAGCCAAATCAAAAACGACTAGCGTGTAACTCACCTCCGGTTCCTCGAACTTTTGACAACTCATTAAAACGACATACATTCGAAACAAAATCTGAAACCTCTGATTGTTTCTAACAGCACCCAATTACAGGGTTGATGATTTCAAATTTGAAAGTTTTTTTGAAGTTTTGAAAACCACTAAAACTTCTTATCTCAGAAACCTAAAGGGCCTTTGGAGAAAGTTGGAGGCAAGATTTGCAACCACTGAGAGTAACCTGAGAGCGCAAACCTTAGTGGGATTTTCAAAATTTAATTTATTCTTTTTCACTTTTTACTCTGACTGTTACTCTTTTCAGTCGAAAAAACAATACTACGGCTCAATCGAAAAAATAGTTCCCAAAAACATTTATCTAGGCATATTTTTAGCTGCAAAATTAAACACTGATTTCAAAGAAAAGTAGTTCAGGTGCAGAATGTTTTCACAAAACAAAAAGCGTCTTTCAAATAAAACGTAAAACTGTTTAGTTTAGAAGCCTAACCAATTGCGTGTTTTTCTGTGGGAAGATACACAGATACAAAAAATCGAAAAAAATTTTGAAAGCATTTCAGCTATTTATTTTATTTGTGCTTTTACTGAATTAAAAACATGGTTAAAAATCGCAATGCAGTATAAGCTTAAATGAAGCTATAAATTTCTATTTTTGAGGACAATTATTCACAGAAACAAAATTTACACATAGACGAAGCTTATATGACAATTTGATGCATTTAAGATACCAAAAAACTGCAACTGGATAGTTTTTCACGTAAATATTTTTTACGGAAATATTTTATAGATAGTTTTTCATGGAAATATTTTTGACAGAAAGGTTTTATAGATATGTTGCAAGGACAGAACGGTCATTTGCAAAATTCTTATGATTCAAAAGGATCCTCTGAAAAAATCAATCTCGATAAAGGAATGAATCAAAGATGAAAAAAATCAAATATAGCAAACAGACAATAGGAAAAGAGTCAATGAACACGCAAGGAAACAGAAAAAAACACCGATTTGTTCTTTGAAAAAAACTGCAATTTTCGAAAATCAAAGTCAACAACCAAAAACTGTTAAGATCTTCGAACTTCAAGAACACTTGTTGATTGACTTTTATTTGATAAGTTTACTTCAATTTGAAAAAACTGGATGAATAGTAAAAGTAAAGAAGAAACCATTGAAGTAAAAAAAGATGGAACCAAAAAAATATCCCACTCGGTTGATATGAATACATTTTTGAAAAAAATAGATAAGAATTTTGGACAGCTTAAAAAACTGAGCACGCACCTTTAAAATGTGTGCCACGCGGATAGGCCGCATGGCACACCTGTCACAGCCAAATCAAAAACGACTAGCGTGTAATCCACCTCCGGTTCCTCGAACTTTAGACAACTCATTAAAACGACATACATTCGAAACAAAATCTGACACCTCTGATTGTACTCTAACAGCACCCAATTGATGATTTCAAATTTGAAAGTTTTTTTTTGAAATTTTGAAAACCACTAAAACTTCTTACCTCAGAAACCTAAAGGGCCTTTGGAGAAAGTTGGAGGCAAGATTTGCAACCACTGAGAGTAACCTGAGAGCGCAAACCTTAGTGGGATATTCAAAATTTAATTTATTCTTATTCACTTTTTTCGAAAAACATTAGAAAAATGTAATATCTTGGAAACAAAAAATTTTTCTGCAGTCATATCTGTAGCAAAAATTTTCAACACCTGAGACTACCCTGACAGCACCCAGCTACAGTGTTAGGAATTACATATTTCTTGAATATTTTAAACCTAAATTCCCGAATAACTTTGAAAAAATCATAAGAAACGTCATAGCTTAAAAACTAAAGGATTTGTGCATTCATATTTGGAGGCAAGTTTCGCAACGCCTGCGAGTATACTGAAAAAATGGCTTTCTCATTAAAAGAGTCGATATCCCAAATTTAGACAGGTTTTTTATAGGTAAGTTCTTTGAAATTTTTTTTTTGAAAAAATCATTTAAAAAACGGCAGATTTCGAAAAAGAAAAGCCTTTGGGCAGTCGAATTTGGACGCAAGGTTCACAATCCCTGAGAGCACTTTCACAGTACCCAACTGTAGGTTAGAAATTTCAAACTATTTTAAATCGAGGTTTTCTGAAGATTTTGGAGAAAAAAACGTCAAATCTCAAAAACTAATGATTTGAGCAGACATATTTGGAGGCAAGAGTCAAAATTCCTGGTAGAACCCTGACAGTATCCCACTAATGAGTGAAATTAAAACTGAATTCAAACTGGAAAATCGAAAAAAATCTTAATCATAGCAATATACGATTTAGCTTAAATGTGAAAAAATTGTCGTTTAACTTGCAAAAATAATACGTTGAAAAAGCTTAAACATGGCGAGATGGTGAAGCCGCATTAAAATATATAATGGATTTTTAAAATTTTTGCCTCCTACCTAACTCGGGGTTCAATTTCAGAGCTTTCGTTAACATTTCCTGGCACAGAGGGTCAAAAGCAGAAGAAGCATTTCGTGCTTTCCCTTCAATCCAACAGAGATTGGCCAACTGCTGTCGACTCAAACCTTCATCACCTCTCTCGTTGCAATACTTGCAGGCATCATTCTTGACATCTTTTATCGATTCTACTATTTCTTCGACCTTCGAATTAATTCTTTCATCTTTTAAAGACGCATCTTCAATTGGATGGATAAGAAAATAGTTTTTGCGAAATTCGTATAGATCTTTCAGTTTCAGCTCCAACTTTTCAAACGACATATTGTCTGAAAAATCCGTGCATTAAAAAAGTGATTTTTAAAAATTGAAATGTAAAATTGAGCATCCTCAAACGAAGACTACAAGAGAGGAAGTTAACAAAGCCTCGCTATTGAGTTTCTTCGTCAAAATAAAAAAAGAGTGCTCCTTGTGCTATTAACATACATGCACTTGAATACACTGACTTTTTTACGAGCTAAAAAAACCCTGCGTAATAATTCGAGCTACACTAAAAGCGAAAAAGTTAATAATTATTATCATAAATTGTAAATCATTTCTTCTTGCTGAGAGTACGTTGCTTTTCGGCTGACTCTACTACTTTGAAATGCGTCGAAAGCCCTTTCCTTTTCCTTATTTTAGTCACTGACTTCAGGGCAAAGTTCTCGGTGTCGGCGACGTCTCCATAAAGTGTCTTTTCCTCCTCTGTTGTTGGAACCCAGGATGGATCCTCCTGAATAACAGCCCAATGACTGAAAATTAACTGTGGGTATGCCCTGCCGGATGTTTTCAGCCTCATTTCACTGACGAATCCAAAACTCTCCTCAACTGGTAGTGATGCCTCAATGTGGTATGCAGTTAGATCGTCAGTCATATCTTCCTGTATTATGAGACCACGTCGTCTATTCAAAACAGCGTACACTGCTCCAAGTTTTTCACTTGAGACGGTGATGTCGCATTTATACATCGCTTCCATTAGTCTGCACGGCTGACACTAAATCAAATACTTGTAACTTATATACTTTTCAACTCTCCAGTAAGGTATTATATTATTGAAGTGAAAAAAAAAACGGTTCAAAATACATCCCAAAATTCTCGCAAAATCGACAAAACTAGTTTTTTAAATTTACATTTTAGCAACGATAACTGTTATCAGATATTCTGAGCTACTAGAAGTTTTGCCCAATGCTCTTACAAAAGTAGGATTCCCTTAGGGATTCATTACTTGTTGCATTACTTATAGCATAGAACTTGTATCAATTGACGTCCCAATTCAAAAAACTAAACATAGCCAACAGATGGATTTTTAAAATCCGTTGACGAGTGTCAAAATTTCGATGACACCTACCTAATTCACACATAGCCGACAAACAGTTAAAAAAGTGTCAATGAACTCGACATAACCGAAAAAAAACGACCGACCATTGTTGAAGTATTGACGAAGAAAAAAATGCGTGGCCTATAAGTTAAAGCTATTTGAATTTCAAGAATATTTAATGAGTGATACTTTTTGAGTCTTTTACTAACGTGCTACAACTGACGCATTATTGACTGAGGGCACCTAGTCGGGGTTTCACTTCCAACAATTAGCTTATGGCTTTACCTGTATAGCTTTTCTGATAGTTTCTCTGCTACTCGAAATCAACTTTCCAGACATGGCTGTGAAACAAGAAACCGAAGACCCCGCTCCACTATTACTCTCGTGATTGACACTATCTGCATCGTGTACTTCTTTATTCGCTTGCAAATGCTGTTCGCTCGAATGCACATTCCACTCGTGAACAAACACTGCGACTCCTATGAGTGGCTCCTCGGCCAGAGGACCGGAGGCAGTTGCCAGCTGGAACCCGTGAGATATACTACTGTCACACTCTCTTAGCCAATCGAACGATGCATTTCCTTGCGCCAGGTCAAAAATTGATGGTCGATCATAATTATTACATAGATTGATCAAAACATTAGCGCCCACGCGGTTCGGTCCCAGACTCCAAATTTTATCTTTGAACTTTCCCCAAAACGATCCCTCCTCTTCTAGGGTGGTTTTAAACTTATCAATAAACAATTCTAGCTCAGATTTAGCTTCTGGTATCAGATCGCCTAGCTCCAATTCTTGTCTCAACAGACGATCAAGGTTTTTCAGTGCAACTGAGTTTTCAAGCAACAATTGCACGATGCTTACAGGTAACGGTTTAGCAGAAAATTTGAGAGAAAAAAGTGGTTCTGACACTTGTGCGTAAATATCTGCTTTCTTCGAGTTGACAATCCGCTCGTTTGCTCTGTCCAATTTCGGTGGCAGAATTATAGTCTCTCTGTATGGAACTATCGGATCCGATGCAATTATTGGTACTTGGGCGAATTCTTCGAGGTCTTTCAGACACCTTTCAAGATGCAATTCACCAGCTGTGAGTAAAACATGCTCTCCAGTTTCTTGCAGCAAAACTTGTACGTTCGTGTCAGCTTGATTCAGTAGCTACAACAGAAGAAAAACAACTCAAAGTTCAAATCTCATTGACAAATACAACGAAACCTTTCGTTATTTTTTGTTTCACACTCGTTTATTTGTCCGTAATTCCATTCCGTACTCACCTTGAGTGCCTTGATAAGACTGCCCAAATCAGATGACTTGGGAGTGTTGACTGCGACTCTGATGATTCCCAGCGAGCTCTCATTTAGAGCGGTGAATGCTGGACACAGTAGAGTCGACGAAACTGTTGCACTTTTAACTATGCACTTAGAGAGGCCCGAAATACCTGAAAACAGTCATTATCTTAATTAAGATACTACGAATAATAACCAATAGAATTTTTCATTCCAAACGTCTTGCATCAAAACAACAACAATTACAGATTGATTTCCAATTTCATTCTTAAGACATTTATTCAAAAGCTTATCTTTTTCAACTGGTTCCTATGGCTGATTAACCGATTCAGTCTCATCCGACTGACTGAACCAAACAAGAAAAAATGTATCCATTTTGTTTCTCATTATTTTTCGTGATAAAAATACGTGTGGTTGAAACATGTTCTGTGCTACCTACCCAGCAACCTGTTATCTTTGTTAAAATTAGCATGCAACTTTTTTATTCGTAACATTGAGAAATTTTATTTGTCCTTTTATTGCAAATTTTGCCCGAAATTGCAAGTGATACTCGCAAACTCAATTTAGTATTAAAAACTTTTTGTCTTGAAATCAAAATCTTGCTAATATTACCCAAAATATTGCCGGCGGGAACTGCGTCAACCAGTTCTAGCTCGCGTCCCATCAGAACGTATACATTGTCGATTGTGACTCTCAGTGCGTGAACTCCAAGTCCCGTAGTTTCGATTCCTCCTTCATTCTGAGAATCTCTGACATAGTTTTCCAGCTCAGCTTGAGAGGCCGAACTTGGATCATGCTTGGGACCGAGGACGAATATTTCTTGACCTTTTCTCAGAGTGCCGCTGAAAATTCGGGCGAAGGCTACAAACTCAGTAGAACCACAGTTGTCTTCGAACTGCACGGAGGGTTCCGGAGTAGATTCTGAAAAAAAAATTGTTTCATCCAGTTGTTTAAGCAAAATGAGGAAAAACTTTACCAGGCGCCATCCAATGAATGGAAGCAGTAATACATGCATTCTAAGAGCATACTACTAGACTTTTCAACTTTCGATTTTTCTTGTAAAAAGAACATTCGATACGTTTTAACGGTAAATTTCACACAAAACTTTATAGACAACAATTTTAACAAAACACTTTCGTTCTAGGTTTTTCGAACGTCAAAATGTACTTAGTTATGGTAGCTAGGCGCCAGAGCGAAAATTTGATTTTTTTTTTCAAAATTTGGAAACCTGAATAAATTCCTCCGTATTGTCAAAATGCACAATACATCCCGTACTCATTTTCTTTAAAAAAAAACATGCTTAACCAAGGTGGCCAATATTGGGTTCTCAGAGCTGCTCATACTACCTGGAAAAAACGTGTAATGTGTACGCCTGCTTAGATTTTGGATTTTGAACGAATCAGCCACGAAGCTCGACGAAAAAAATTGGCATTGATATTCATTTGCTGGCACTGATCGCACTGTCAGATCACGCTTCGCACTGATACCGTGGCCACCCCGTTAACAATGTTGTTTGTTTCTTTCCAAATCGAATGATCTTTTCCATAACAGCCGCGTTTGCAATATAAAGCCATTTCGATCATATGTTCTTATAAAAATATATCTAACGAGGGATAATCTACAGATATATTAAAATGAAGTTTGTGTATGTCAATAAACATCTAGAATAATGATCGTACGAGCGGGGAAAATACCATGTATGTAAAAATGAATACGAGGAGCGCTATTAGCTGTGACTTTACAACTGCACAGAAACTTACCTACAAAAGGGGTAAAAAGACACTAGAATAATTTGATGATATTAGATCCGTGATGTCTTGTATATAATGTACATTGAAAACTGATACATAATGAATGTTAGTTTTAGTTTCCTAGAGTTTTAAGGCCAGAGTCTTCAGGCTAATGGCGTACCCCATCTCGTTATTTTTCACCGTCCGTGCACTTTAATGGCTACTGTTTTGCGCCCGGCTGGATCAGTAGAATGTTTCCAATCATCACCCCACCTATCAAAGTAATTAGCTACAGTGAGCAGCTAGAAATCGAGGCTTTCTTTGTGCGTTCTGTTCTATTACCCGAAAATGAATTGAACTTTCTTTCTTGCTCATTTAAATAAGAAACCTTTCATTGATTCTACTTGCAGTTGTTACAGATTATCATTGAAATTTTGCCCAGAAAGAGTGCCCCCGCAAAAATTAAGTAGATAGATTGTCAGACTCTGTTGCGCTCATCAGTATATTGACTGAAAAAGTGGTTTACCTCGAAAACAAAGTTTCCAAACGACAAGATTGTTAATGATCAAAATGAATCCATCATTTTTTGAAATATGAGATAACTGAACTGAAAAAAAAAAAAACGGTTCCTGCTTCGGAAACGCTATTCATGCAAGGACTGCGGCTTGATATTCTCAAATTGCAATATTTATGACAGAAATTATGTTTCACTTTCACAGTTTAAAAAAGATGTCTGCAATCTTTTTTATCATTATTTTGGATAAAGTATTGCTCAAGGCCTTTCATCCACTGCCGCCATACTCAACTAAGACCATTTCAAGATTTATTGAGAAATTTGTGTTCTTTGCCGATAAGGACGTCAGATAGGAAAGGAAAGCCACTAATTCGGGTGCCTGGTTGCCTTGATGTCTACCCCCCGTTTGCTGGCTTTGAACAAGACGAAACAAGAAAAAATTAAATTCGATTTCATGTTTTTCTTCTACTTTAATTCTACTTTTTCCGACAGGTCCACGCTCAAGCCCGTTATCTCTGTTACACTAAACGTTATCGGAAATTAAAAAATTGTTCGGGTCAATTTCCTGTCTTGCAATCATTCCCCAATCGAATCTGATAATCCAGTTCTAAAAAAAAGCGGTTCTGGTGTGCAGAGTTCAAAAGCGTAGCAAGGTTGAGTGAATTTTTCATGTTGAAGGAAAGCTGCACCATAGTGAAGTAGCAAAAGTTTCCAGTTCAAAAAAATCAATTCTAAGGATTTATAATTAATTAGCACAATTAATCTCCAAAATCAATCAGCAGACTCAAGGTGTCGAGCAAATACACACGTTGCAACAATGTCAAAAGACGACAGACAGATTTTCAAGCAGGTTACTAGACATTTAATTACTTTACAATCTCAAAGACACTGCATTTACAGGATGGATTTGAATCCTTTACGCCGTGAATACGAATCTAGGATGCAAATGGCGTCAAGCTCATAACAAGGACTCATATTCTACCACAAGCGTTGCAGAAACTTCATCTCGTAAGTGTTATATTAAAAAAGTAATTAGGCTCAATTATAGAGATCGATCCTTTTTCATTATATCGAACGAACCTGAATTTGCTATTCTGAAAAAATCTAGATACAATGAGGCGAAGCTGCGATTCGCAAACACTAGCGTCAGATTCGAACCTGCGACTTGAGTGTCAGATTCGAACCTGCGACCTCGAGATTTGAGTCTTACGTCCATAGCTCTGATTTACAGACGCTGAAAGATCGGTGAACACTAGCCGCAAACAAGGTTATGAAATTTTCAATGTTAGAGATCGTGATTATAGCAAAAGTGCTACCAAATGCACTTTTATTTGCGAGATAGGTTGGAAAAACGTGGACTCAATCTAATACACTGCGCTGGTAAGTGCAATAAAATGCCCGTAGCAACAGGAGCCTTAAGGTTAATTTTGATCAATTTAATACCTGTTTTTGAGTTCAGTGTTTCTGCGCAGTCAGCAACATGTTCGTTTTCCAAGTTGACTTCGTTCATTTTTCTTATCACCTCTTCCCGCTTAATTGCCATTTCATCGCTACTCATTTGAATTTTTCTGTTTTCAGGCAGTTCTTTTCTATCATAGGGAACCATCTTGGAAACGTACACAATCACCGGTTCATTGCTAGAGGCGCTACATTTTGTGAAAGACTCTTTTAAACGTTTGGTTGCTTCTGGCCAATTTTCATACGTTTTATTATCTGTCGTAAACAGAGACAAAACACGGTCGTCTGACAAACTGTTAGGGGGAGGTACGATTTGACAAACTGCTGATAAAACAGTATCACTTATCGGCAACCACTGACTCATAACACTTACCAATGCAGGTCGTGGGTCTTTATACTGTGTATCTCTCAATGATAATTTCACACCCAACGAGTTGCATATTTTGGTCATCTGCTCTTTGTTTTTGCTGCTCGCAGATTCGTACACAGACCAAATATTTTCAAGGATCAGTTGCACAAAAAGAGGCTTTTTGCCTTTCTTCCAGGCGTTATTGAAGATTTTTCGCTGTTTGTAATTGACGTAATAGTTTCCCCACAATGTTTTCTTAAGTGATTCTACTTTAAAACCCAGTTTTGAAGCGAAGAATTTAGCGAATGTCTCGATTCTGAAATCAATTTTACTCTGAAGCAAATACTTTCACATGTATCTTATTTACATAAGAACAAAACTCAACTTACGTGAAGGCCCAGCCATCAATTGCACTGGCAAAAATAACATTGTTGTTTTCGGGTGCAAAATAAATTTTTGCCTTTTCGCTTTCATCATCGTCGTCAATTGCTGTTGTATCATATACAATATCCTCGTTTTCATCCTGATCCTCGAGTTCATAATTAGTTTTGTGTTCTTCTTCTTAAGTCGGAGGGTTGATCAAACGTATCTTTCATACATACATTTGAAAGCATTTCATTGAAAAGATATTGACGTTTCAGAACCGCACATTTGGGGTCAAAAGAATTCAGAATAATTTTTAACACTTGGTTCTCGTTTTTGTTTTCAGCAAAGAAACGTGATACGTCCCAAGAGACGATTTTCTATATTTGCAACAAAAGAGTAAAATTTTCCAATAACAATTTTTTTGCTCTTTCCCATAGAAGTCACCCCTTCAGCCAGAAAAGAAAAACTCTATTTTAAGTGTTTTTGGATATCTATAATGGAATTTTTTTCACTTGATCAACCAACCCTGTTCCATGGCAGTCAAAACATCTGATTGGTTCATGCCAGCTGTGATGCAGTTGACCTCTTCTAGAAGTTTACTAAGTCTGTAGTACGCATCTTGTGGCGTTAGATTCAGCTCAGTTATGAGGCGATCCATTTTGTTAATAACAAGAAGAGGGGTGATTTTCCCCTGCCATATCTGTCTCAAGACAGCATGCGTTTGTGGACATACTCCCTCTACTACGTCCACAATTACTACAGCTCCATCGCAAAGTCTAACTGCGGTGGATACTTCTGAGGAGAAGTCTACGTGACCAGGTGAATCGATTAAGTTGATCAGATGTTCTCTCTAAAACGAAAACAAAACTTTCACAAAAAAACACTCGATCCCTCTATGCCAGGTTATTCATACACTACCTGAGGTTAATTGAAGCATTGATGAAAAACGAACAGCAGACTAGGATTTTATGCTCCAATCAACTATTTTCTGTTTGATTATGAAAAAAAAATCGGTGTTTCAGAAAAAATCTCAGGACGGGCCCTTGCATTCTTAATTTATGATGCTAAATTCATTTTACCGTTGCATTCGAATACTTCAGGGTAATAGAGCTTGCTTTCATTGTAATTCCTCGCTGCTGCTCATCTTCTCTGCTATCCATGTAGCGAAGCGTACCAGCTAGTCGTTTTGAAATGATGCCGTTGGAGGCAATCAACGAGTCAGCCAAGGTTGTTTTCCCATGGTCAACATGAGCCAAAATGCAGCAGTTTCTGATGCAAGACGGATTTCTTTGCAACTCAGTAAGTTTCTCAAGGGTCACAACTTTGGCTTGCGGTTGCGTGCTCATTTCACATCTACTTAACTAAAAAATTGACTTCAGAGAGTTCAAGCCGATTCAAAAAACTTTGTAACATTCGTCTACTGCAGTCACACATGAGGCTTAAGAAAAATAGGCCCTATAACTATTGGCTCAAGAGTCAGGGACACTATCTCTTGTGTTTTTCCACCTCAAATCAGTCGGAGCCAATTCGGTTCGTGTAACATTCGCCCGGAAGATACATATCGACGGATAACAAAACTAAGTCTTAAGACTACCGGCTAGCGTCTAAACAGAGCTTTGCATGTTTTTCACCGTCTCTACCAAGCCAGTACTTTTCGGTGGTCTTTCTTACATCGGGTCGACAAAAACGTTACTGCTCTCCGGCTTCGACCAGAACGCTCAAATTAACTGAATTACATGCAAAAATAGTGAGCTCATGGCTGGGTCTCTGTATCCCCAGACCACGAGGTCACTCCTAAAAACAGGGCTACTACTTATCATATTACTATTGTTTTTGTTCAGTAGATAAAAATCATCATCTCCATCGAAGATGGATCAACCCTTTCCCCCAACTCCTAGCTTCTCATCCTTATCAAAATGAATCCAGTTGTTAATTAAATTCAATTCAGGACATGACAAGAAGCTAAAAGTTTATATAAAAGGCTAAAAGTTCCAGTCCCGAAACCCTTCCGGATTCTTGAATCCAGTGAATCAAGCTCCTCAAGTTCAACTTCACACCAATCCGGAAGGCTGGTTCTCACCCTTCACCGTTGTTGGCGACGGTCTTGCAACTATTGTAGCAGCACAATAGTTGCAACTTGGAACGTTCTCTGCTATTGTAGTTCGTTGTCGTTTTTCTTTAATCTCGATTTTCGTTCTGTTCGCAATCACAGATAAAGTTGTTCTGTTTTTCACTCGCTTTTTGTTAAAATGGCCGTTTCAGCATTTCTCAGAAATGTGACGTCATCATTCGAATTTTTGAAAATTTAAAATACTAGAATATTCTAGCCCTCACCGTTTGGCTAAACGTTCCAATAACGTCGCTAATCCTTCGAAATCATCAACTCGGAAGGCTTACTGCTCAAAATTCGAATCCTGCATAAATTGCATTTTGGCCATTCTGGTCGAATGTCACATACTCCCCGGACAGTCCGGTCAATGTCCTCATTGAATCGCGCAATGTTCTAAATGGTTACAGTGTCATCGAACAGAATTTACAAAATGCACGAAATTACTTTTACCTACGTCACATCGACTCACTGCAGAATATAAATGGCATCATACTACATCACTATAGCCTTCAAATTCTTTCATTAATCTGCACATTGAGGATATGACTTAAGATAAAACATATTTTCTGACTTCCAGTGTCAATGTCCCGATTGAAACTTTTTCTCCTAGATTTAAAAGGTGTTGGCTTGCAGGACAGTCCTGCCAACCAACAAGCTAAAATTATCCTACTATGCTCCTTCCCTTCGGAAATCTTGCTTGTTTATTGCCCTGAATATTAAAACTAAGAAACTTTGTGGTTAGAAAGAACAATGCAACAACCTCCCTCCTCAAGAAGTTACTCAAGTTTTTCATGTCACCACAAAGTGATCAGTCTTCCTAAGTGATTAAAAACAATCATGCAGACTGGAATATTTAAGTATACTCTTCCCTCAAGCCTTTCTAAATAAATCATAAGTGAGTGTCTCTAAAGCCACTTCAACTAAAACCAAAATGCAAATTTATAAATGCAACAATTTCAAAACTCAACAAAATGTTTCAGTTTTCAATTACAACTTGGTTGCTTGGTTTCTCACTTGAGTTTTTCACACAAATAAAACAATTCTGAGTTTTGACTTTTCTTCATCATTCCTTTGTTCTCTTCTTTTTTCGTCGTTTAGAAGTTCTAAAACTTCTAAATTCTTCTAATTTTCTTTCTTGCTGCCTCTTGTTTTCTCGACCATTCGTCAATGCTCCATTTCCTCCTCCTGTGACACTGACTCCGCACTCTCGGTTTCCGTGTCTTGTAGCACGTCATTGACTATCCTGACGCTGTTGGAAGCCGTCCTCCAACACTTCTGCTCTTCCACCCTCTGTTTACAGCAAGGTAGGGGATCCACGTTTGATACTCTGTTTCTACAGAAGCTGTTGTGGAGACACAACGTCACGTTTCTCTCCAAATCTTCTTTCAGCATCTCTGCCTTCTCATTTCCACTACGCTCGCTCGTCCTGGAAATTCTTTTCACAGCGGTGGTCACTGCATTCCGATGGGTCACGAAAGCTCGCTTGAAAGCTCCTGCCCCAATGTCCAGCTGATATTCACTGTACACTCTGCCATGTTTCGACATATGCTTTTTCGCATACTCGTACAACCATGCAGTCATGTAAGCTCTGAACCATGGCATCAATCGTTTTCTTGCCCATATCTTCTTCACTTCCATTGGAATGTTTAGAACTTTGCACATTGTCTCAAAAAGATCTAAATCTTTTAGACAATCTAATTTCTGCAATTGTTCTCTCGTCGGTGCCTCCTGTCTATTATTTTCTCTCACATGAGCTTCCAGCCATCGCATCGCCATCATAACTCCCACTATCACTATTGTTATGGGCTGTGATGAATCTGGTAAACCCATGGAGAGCAGCTCTCCAGAGTCCCAGATCAACACCAGATTACTGCGCTTGGGATACCACCAGGTCTGCAGCAAGCAGTGGCAAGGAAACTCGTCATGTGTCAACATGATGCTCCTCCAATTCCGTTTTCCCGAAGCTTCCAGCAATGGTTCCACTTCCATCATCACTCGGTGGATCTCATCATTCTCATCTACTGCATTGTAATCTGTAATATTGAGTCAGCGTTGGGACTAGGACACCATGATGGCTTCATCAATTCGTACACTGCCATCAAGCTCGTTCTCAGTAATTCATCTGAGAATCCCAACCCAAATTCCACTCTCTTGTCGGATTTTGGTACTGAAGGTGCAGTCACCTCTTCTTCCAAGACCAGTCCCAATTTGGCCTGTGGATTGTTAGCGCTCTTGATCGTTACAATTCTGGACGTCCAGAACCTTAGTAACACCGCCTGCTCATAATCAAAGAAGCAATCACGTATGTCTTCACTCAGGAAAGGATTGTACGCTATCCTTATGATCCCAGATACGTAGCTATATGACTTCTTCTCGATCGGTCCACAGTATTCACTGGATTTCGGCAATGCTCCCATAGATTCTTTAGTGAGCCTCAACTCCTTGTTTGAGAATCTCCTGATCTCGTCTATCTTTTTCATGGGTTCCAATTCTTCAGGTTCTTTCATTTTCACCCTCATCGGTTTACTTTGCTGCATATCCAGCATTGCTAGTAAGAACATGGCTTTCGTTCGCTCATCGCCTTCCCTCAACATTTTAACACAAGTGTTTAATGCAGGTACTGAAATCTGCTCTATCAGGAATCGAATGAAACAGAGAGCGTCTCTCCGCTTTGCACACGCTACTGCTGCTCCCTCCTGGACTATCAGATCCCTCAGATTCGTCATAAGGAAAACTTTTTCCTCCTTTGATCTCTTCCTTTCTTCTGAATCATATTCTGCGCGAGTCAGTCCCATCATGCACCAGGCGAGCCTGAGTTGTAATTCTGTCCTTACGTAAGGTACTGCCACGAGAGCATGTATTCTTGGCGTAGTCCTCATTTCTTCTTCGAAATACCTCAATACTACTGCTTTCCATGGAAGGCTCACTAACTGCTCGATCGTCTCCGCCTCTACGTCAGACGACGCTAAAGTTCCATACGCCTTCTGCTTGAGGGTGGTGCCTTGCAACATCATTTCCAGATAACCCTCCATGGCTTTTTCGTCTTCCAGGGCCATTACATACCCTCTAGCCGAGTTCCGGTATTCCAACATCTCCATGTATCCACCGGTGGGTTCATCTATCGACACTGTCTCCGACACTGTTAGTCGGTTGTATTCCACTGGTGTCAGTTGTCCTGCAACACTTCCTTTTCCATGATTCATGGGAGATGGTTTGAAGTCCCTCATTTTAATCTCTCCACATTGACTGAGTATTTCCATTTCTAAAGTTGCTCCAGTCAGAGTGCGGTCACTCCTTTTGGATTTATAACCGGTTGACTTTATTCCCGCCATGAGAATGGGTGGCACCATCGCTATATCAGTTAATATTCTATCTGTGCCAGACAATTGATAATCACCTTGCCCCAAATCCATAACTTCTTCGACTCGCTTCCTTTTCGCTGAGTTACCAGCTTTCATCGATATTTCTGAATCCACTTTCGTCTTTCCAATTCTCCTCGGCATCACTCTGCTGCCTAACTTCATTTTCATCGCATTGATTTTATCAATCACCATTTTTGATCGCATCGTTCCTCTCCTGGTCCTTGACAGGTACACCACCTCTCCTTCATTGTCCTGCGGTGTCATCTTGATGGGAGAATTCGCTTCACTCTCATCAGTGGCTGAGTCGATCAATAACTCACTTAGTCTCCCTTCACACTCATCAAGCTTGTTAAGTACTTCTCTCATCAAGGGTTGATTGAGACCTGTTTTGAGAATGGACTGGGTCCCATAGCTCTGAACCACAGTCCAGACTTCTTCCATGAACGCCACTCTGTCCAGCTTACATCCCGTCCTACTCTCGTGGTCTCGGTGATGTACTTCCCATTCTTCTTCGGGCAGCGTTCCCAAGAAAGGTACTCTGGCTGAGGCCTCTATTCTTCTCCTCCGAGGCGATTCTATGAGGATTTTCTGATCGTTATTTCTTGTATTGCCAGGAGAGCTGCTCTCCGGCAAATTCCGTTTCATTTCCATAAAGGCTGACGGAGGCTCCAGTGTCGAGGTGCCTTCATCCAGCTCCGTCGTTTCCAACGTATCCGCATTGTTTTCAAGATCACTGAAGATGTTGAAATCCAGGCTGGATGTTCCTTCTATCGATGCCCTGTCGTCCTCCCCACCAGCTTGATCTTGTTGCATGGGTTCTTCAGTCTGACGGTTTCCACCCTGTCCGTCATCTCCCTCTGACTTATCCTTGTTCGAGCTCGATGGT